AAAGAACTTGTGTCGCTTAAGTTTCGTCGGAACGAAGTTACGGAAAATTAATTAACACACGGAGACGTAACAGCGTATTAGGAAGAAACTGATAATGAATATAACAAAAAGCAAAACAATCAATTTATAAATATAATCTCAATATTTCATCCCACCTACTTACCCAATCTTGAAATTACAATCTTTTATTTCATGAAATGGTTTTCAGCTTATATTTCAAAAAAGTGCTTTTAATTATTATTTCAATATTTAAAAGTGAGAAGAATTTATTGAAAAATGCTTGTTGCCTTACCGCCTTTTGTTGTTATTGCGGAAAAATGAATGAAGCTATTTTGATAAGGTAGATTCTCCGAAATATTTATTGTTTCAGAAATCTCAGGATGTAAAACATTTGAATCAGAGCTGTCTGATTACTATGACAACTTTAAGAAAAAACTTCAAGTCCAGTTTTCAACTTCAAACAAGGCGTTTTTCGAGATGAAACAGCAAAACGGATAAAGACAAATTATACATCGCAAATAACATGGTTTTCTTTAAGCCGTGATAAACTATCCAATATTCTTTAACATTCACTTACTTTAGTTTAAAGTGTTTTTTAACTTTTCAATTTCTATAAGATGCTTCACTTCAATCTTTTTTTAACCATACTGCAATAAAATTTTAAAATAAACTGTCGTCCTTAGGAGATAAGTCTAGAAAATGTCCGAACCCAAAATTCATTTTCACAATATTTTCATTTTACATGTTCCTTTAAAAGTTTTTTATTGCATATTTTCCATAATATATATTTAAGTTTCTTAGAAGAAATAGGTATCGTAGGGAGAAGGAAATTAAGTATTAAAGATGCTGTCATAACAGATTTTATAAACTTCAAAATCAAATAAAGACGTCGTTATCTTACAAACATAATCTACAATGCAAGAAAAGTATTTTTCACCAATTCATCACACGTTAACGATACAGTATATCAAAAGACAGCAGAAACACTTTAAACATACGACTCAAACAAATTAGTTGCTGTGTCACAAATTAGTTGAATAAACTGTCAGGTTTTTTGTATGGGCCGGATTCTTTACAATAGGTGTCTGTGACTTGTTGGCGATAAATTCCAACAATAAATAAACAGCACACAGTTCACTTGTTTTAAAATAATATATTAAAACAAGTAAACAGTATATATATATATAAATGTTCGTTACACTGTTGGTTATCAAAACAGTATTCAGGACTTTAAATAACTGTCTCTTTTTTTTGTCGAAGTCCTTTAGAACAGAATTGACAAAGCGAATTATTCTTCTCTACTCTATTATTGCAGTACAATGTGTGATAATTTCATTTTAAAAATTGCCACTATACGCTCATTATGGCTAAACTCACTATCACACAATCTACATTTATCTCCATCAAGCTACATTTTCGACGCGTATTTATACCCCGACAGAGGTTTAGAGCGTTTCACATTCTACTAGATATTAGGATGCAATAATACTCAGTTAAAACAAGGAGATAAACTCAGAAGGTTCTAGTAACATGACGCAATAACTGATGATGATATACAAATCATCAGTTCATAAGTATGGAACTTACACAACGTAAGATTAGTAAACAAACTTGCGATAAACTATCGCTTCTAAAACTAATTAAATTTAACACTTACGCTCTATAAACTATCTATATCATAACAATCGCATTAAAGTTAAACAGAAACAACCGTGTATATCTAACAAAAACGGAGTTTACTCATACAATAGTTTCTTAAATAAATGTTTTAAAAGAGCTAAGACTGAGTTTGAAAATAACATAGAATATCTTACTAGTATATTTAGAAATAAGATTCATTGGGATTTGTATATCAATTGGAAAGCAGCTCATAATGTTTCTAAAACATTTCCTAATTAAAAACTTTATACAAATTTCCTCTGTTGTGTGTAATACTAATCAAAATGTCTACTTAAAATAAAAGCGTATCAAAACAGTATTAGTTGTTAACTATACAAGCCATTTGATTTGTTGTTCTAAGTATCTGAAGCTTTGAAATAGATCTGAAAACACGTTTGTAAGAATTCAGAGTTGTTTTTGAACTATGGGTGTTGTTATTTGAGCTGGTAAAAAAAAAAGATATTTTTCGTCAAAACCCTTTTAAACAAAATTATTAGAAGAAATGTATAGTATAAAAAATAGAATGCTCGAATTGTCTTTAATTTAGTACTGGAAAACTGGGTGCAAAACAGGTATCAAGTTGAAATAACATTTTAACTCTCCTACTCATCTTATGTATGTCTAAATTATCATGATATGACACATATGTAACAAAATTTGAAAATTTCTATTTCATAGAAAGAAAACGCATAAACATAAAATTAAAGAAGTTGTGTTAATAAAGTAATTAACATTACCAATAAAGAAAATTATTGCGATTAATTTGTATTTATTTTAGTTAACTTAACCATATGCCTACACCATCTTGGTGTATTTCTTTGTTTATTGTGAATCACAAAACTACACAATAGGCTACCTATACTGTGCCCATCACGAGTATCGAAACCCGATTTATGCCGTTAAAAATCATCGGACTTACAGCTAAGCCACTGTATTTATTGTGATGTGTTTATCACCCCATGATGTGCGTTAACATGTCGAAAGTTTGTGATTATTTATGTTCTTTTTTTAACCCTTCTTTTACCTGTTTTTGACTCTTTTTTATGATTTAACGTGTGAGATACCTTTGTTTTACTTAACTTGAATACCTACTTGCTAAGATGGTATTCATATCATAAGAACTTTAAAAAAGTTTTTTTACTGATTTTTTTACTATCTAACAGTTAGAAATCAAATCGTACCCATAGTCTCCTTGATTGACAGTTTCAATAAGATTCGGTTGGATGAGACAAGGTTTGTCCTCACACACAAATTCAAACTTTTCTGACGTAGTGTGGCGACATTCACTGAAAAGTAAAAAGCAAAATATTCTTAATTCAAATTTCTTTTCTGAACGTATTATTAAATCCCACAAAGACATGCACTTGAGATTCACTTATATTATAGAAACAACATTGGTAAGAAATGATGTTATCTTTTTTCTTACACTATAATAATACCTTAAGTACAAACCTTAATAGCTCCATAAATCTCCCATTTAAATGGTCAGGCTTTATAAATACTCATTTTGAAAGTACTTCCCGTTAAATATGATAGCAAAAAGTATGAGTAACTTACTGTCTACTCAGTCTTTTCCCCAAATGTGTTTGAGAGGGGGGTTCTAAGAGGTCCTATTAACTCCCGCTTGCCTGACTTCCTTATTACCACTAACCTTGTACTGCTCCAGATCACCTTAACAATTTGCATAAACAAATCCACTTTATATATTATACTCGCTGGAGTACCCGTCCGTTTGACGGGTGAAATAAAAACTCGTTTGTAACAACGGATAGGAAATTGTGCTTCTTGTTGTTGTTTTTTTTTAACATAATAAACATTAAAAATACATAAAGGTACCAATACTAAAATAAAGACATATTGTTTTCAAGAATTCTATCATTATGAAATTATATATGCCACCTTGTGCTGATTTGGTAGTTTTTTCGAAATTAGATGGGATGGTCCAATCCCCTCCCCCCTTCCATGACCGTCCTCATGTCATCTTGTATCACTATATCAAGTTTGGTTCTTATTGATCAAGAAATGTGGAAACGTATATGGAACAGACACACGCACAAATATTAACGTTTATTCATATAGATAATGGTAGATTAGGATATTATCTTTTATTCTAGAATTCAATAAGAAATTACGTCAATTATTTATGCAAGAATGAGTTTAATTCATAATGAATGTCTCCACTATTTTCGAGCCATTCAATACACACCCAAACGATTTTTGTCACAGGTGTAAAACTTACCACATGTTACAGTTTTTCTTAATCTTCTGTCCTACGTTATAGCTGTTTCCTCCGTGATAACAATCTGAAATAAAGTTCACATCCAGCACTCAGTAAGAAACTGCATTATTTGTAGGTATAGTTGATTAAAGAAAGTGTATTGATTTATCATAACAAGTTATTCAACCAGAAAGTGTAACGTTTATATCAGACATTTCTGGAATTGAACAGTAAAACATCTTCTATACCCAGAAGATAAGTTATTAAACAACAACAGTATTTATTACCAGTAATTATATTATTCTATAACACAGTAACGTTTGTACCCAGTATTCATGTTATTTTTTTCCAGTAATATGCACAAAGAATCATGTCATATAAAAAAACCAAAATATCAGCATTTTATACATATGTTTATAGAACTTTAAAAATATGTTCAAGACAGGAAGATTTAAACAACGAATTGTTATTAATTAAGTATCTAGCTATTGACAGAACCAAATATAGTAGACAAAGCATTTAAGAAGTTTAACAAAAATGCAAATTCAGTTAAAAATACTACATTAAAATCTGTTTATGAAAAAAACAAAAAGAAACTCTAAGTTTACCTTACGTTCGAGGTTTAACAAGTCAATTATATAAAGTATTCAAAAAGTATCAGAATTTTTACCGTATCTTCAAACCAATAAATAAGATAAAAGATATGATAAGGAATGCTAAAGACAGAATAGAATTAACAGATAAAAGTGGTATATACAAGATAGAATGAAAATGTGGTAGTGTTTATATTGGTCAAACTAAAAGCAAGAACTATAGATTGCAAGAACACAAAATTTACATCAGAAATAATAAAATAGAAATGTCAGATATAGCCGAACATGTAAAAACTACCCAACATACAATATTATGGGTAAAAAACCTTAGTTTTATCTCTCAGCCACGAAGTTTTATATCATTAAATATTAGAGAAACATTAGAATTAATGAAATATAAAAAACAAAAACAAGTATTAAATAGAGATGAAGGACCAGCAAGTCAATACGTTGACATATGGCGAGATATATATATTCAATTACACTAAGGAAATATGCAAATAACAATAAAATAATGCGACGAGGGGAAAGTAGAAAATAGTCTTGTAAGTTACTCCTGAGGACTACGTAGATCACCTCGAAGCATGGACGTGTAGAGTGATATTTTTATTTTAAAGTGGAAGCAGTACGGCTTCAATAAAAATTTTATTGTGTAAATATAAAATGTTGTTTTTAATTATCTATTAGAATTTAAAAAAATATTATCCAGTAAGACAGTGATTTTCAAACTCTCCCAACTCACGAACAACGTAAGTAATCAGACAATTTTTTGTGACCAATGTTCAATTATATACATTTCAGTAAAGTCTAGTTGTGCCCTTGTATTTTGTGTTTTTATTTTGTTTGATGAAAAACGTTATTTTATAAATAATTTAAAAATATAAAACATGTTTATGTTCTGCGACTAACAACTGGATAGACCTCACCTCTACAATAACATATATATGTATATATAGCGACAACAGTTTGTTTTTACATTAAATCTAGTGGGCCTAACAATAAAATTTCATTATTTCTTTGTATTATAGAGGGTTGAGTATATTATATTAAAACGATTTTGGAGCCTTACTACATTCACTACGTTGTTACAGTCCATGTAGCCAGGTCTGTTCATGCTCTGCATCATTCCTCCCTCCATATTTTTAGTAATCTGGCTAATGTAAGAGGATGATGGTTCTCAGCGCTCATTTCAAAAGTCCGATCACGCAAAAATCCATAGTCGCTGTATCCTCCAACGGTATCTTCGCACGAAATACCATTAACATCCGTTTCATTCTACAGTTGCTTCAACTATGCGATGGTAAAATTGGAGCTTTGACTCGAAGTCTTATCTTGGGGAATCCATACCATGTTGGCCTTGATTCAAGACGGAGACCCTTCTTTATTATGCTGCGTACTGTTACTCGCAGCATGTGAACGAATTTTACCACTTAACTTTACATTTGTGGATTCTCAACCGTTAAAATAGGTCACACTTTATTACCATGACTAGGATACGACTTATTGCAGGTCTCTTTTTGGATGGTACTGAAACCCAAGTTGATCCATATTCTTTTGTTTTCCAATGCCTTTTAAATACAAGAGATAGCCCCGTTTTGAAAGTTTTAAATCCCTGTTTGGTACACATCTTTATGATCCGAGTGTATGAATATTCTGCGTTGCAAAAGGCTGTTACATCTTCTTCCCAAAACAAAATATAGTTCTGATACATGTGGTTGTCATGTGCCTTGCTGATTTGCACATTCAAATAATTTTATTATAATGTACTCAATCGTTTTAATTTTGTCAGATTAAAATAGTATACTTCTAAGTTCTTAATATTGGTGATACTTTCATCGGACAGCTAGTATATCACGTCTTTTTTTTTCTAGTGTTTAGGATGATAATTCCAAACTGTTATAAATCTTTTTAGATTTTGTTTTCCAGTTTGAATAGACTCTAGAAAACGCACCTCCAAATGGCATTGCGGTATGTCTACGGACTTATAATGCTAGAAACGGGTTTCGATACCCGTGGTGGGCAGAGCACAGATAGCCCATTGTGTAGGTTTGTGCTTAACTTCAAACAACAACTAGAAAACACGCTTTTTAAAATCCTATTTAATGTTATAAATCATCTATATTTTAAAACTCATCATCTTAAAAGAAACATATCTTCCTCGTTGTAAATATTGGAGTTATGAAATAGGACACCTGTCTACGAACCAGTATGGTCATTGTTTGGTCTGATGAATATGATAAGAGTACATAACCACAATAAATGAAACACGAAGACTGAAAGGCAAAGAACTGCCTATTAAATATCACTAGTTCTGTCATTCCATGGTTTATGTGACGCTTACCAACAGGGAATAATTATAATATTTTGGCTACCTAAAAATAACTAAAATACGTAATAAACCCAGACAATTTTCAAATTATACTGTTATATTATTTACTAGAATATAGATTTATATTTTAAATTTAAGAAACCATGTTTTGTAAGTTCATACCAGAAGCTACAAATTTAAATGATTATTTCTACCAAGTCAGCAGATAATCAAAACACTACTAGATAATGTTCTACAATGTATGAAAAAGCATCACATCTGTATATCATTTCAGAATAATTCTTAGTTTTAAATTTCCTACACTTAGAAATTACCAGCTTCAATCAAAACCTTACAACACTAAAAATTTGGTTTTGATATCTGTAGTGGGCAAAACATATATAGCCCATTGTGTAGAATTGTGCTTAACAACAAACCTTTCATCCAACCAATCAAAACAGGCTAAAAAGGTTATTTATTTAGGATATTTTTCGATAACCGTCACTAATTTTGAGCTGATGAGACTAATAAAAAGAGAGCTAGTCAACAGCGCCTACCGCCAACTCTTGGGCTACTCTAATCAAATAATGAAGCTAAAAAAAAAAAGAACTGACACGTGTATTTCATTGAACAATTCGACCAAAAGCCACCCAGACAAAAATAGCAGAAAAACCAGGGAATCTCGGAAAGCAAAATAACGTAGCATATTCTTTAAGGATAATTTTATCAAGTTTCATCTCAAAGACAGATTAATGAATGTTTGTTGTTGTTATTATTATTATAAAAAGGAATTTAGTAAGTTTGATTTCATTTACACCTACAACTTGACCCCTGTGGCCGTTATAAAGTGCCTTTTGTTAGATCCAAAATTTCAAACATAACATTCCAAGAAAATGACGTGGTACGTCCTTGCTTTCTTTGTACAAAGCAACACAGGGATCATGTACACTCTGTCCACCGCGAGGAATGAAACCCCGGATTTTAGCATTGTATGGTCATAAACTTACCGCTGATCCATCGAGAAACGAAACAAATATATTTATCACAGTACTTACAACTTTCCTTTCAAGATTAGAGTTGTTTAGTTTGAGAAGACCATGCAAACAATAGACATTAGGAATCAATGCCAAATGTTTATGGCACGTAATAACCTGTACTAAAACGAGCTAGAAGATGGCGTTTCATATCTTTTAGACCATCACTATTAATATATAATACTAGGTTGTGGTTCAAGAAAAAACATAGCCCTATATTTCAGTTATTTTATCATCTAATTAAATACCTCATATCCCCACCCTCCAAAAAACAACAACATATCATATGGAATGAATCCCGAGTGATGCAAAGCGCTGCATGGCTCGGTGACAATATCAAATTTTACTTGGAAATAAGATTACTAGAAGTTAGACACATCACTAATATTTGGCCTAGCATGGCCTGATGGTTAGGGCACTCGTCTCGCGGGTCGAGTGTTTGATACCTGTCTCCGAACATGCTCGTCATTTTAGCCGTGAAGGCGTTATAATGTACTGGTAAATCCCACTTTTCGTTGATAAAACAGTAGCCCAATAGTTGGCGGTGGTAGTGTTGACTAGTCTCTTATTTCTAAATCAGGGACAGCTAGCGCAGTTAGCCCTCAAACAGATCTGTGAGAAATTCAACAGACAAATAAACACCAATTTTTTTTTCTGTAAGCGATTTAAAATGGCTAAAATTTTTGTGACTAATTACTATATAAAAGTATCGGATTGTTAAACTATATTTGTAATTGTGTCAGCTTTCTGATTTAATATACAACATTGTAATACAAATAATGTGTGCATTATTGTTTGACTAAGAATGTTGGAACATTTCATGGTCAATAAAGCAGAATAATTTGTTTTGCTTTTAAGAACAATGCTACACATTGGGCTATTTGTGTTGTGCCCACCACAAGTATCGAAACCGGTTTTAAGCAGTGAGAGCCCTCAAATTTACCGCTGAGCCACTGAGGTGGGGGCAAACAAAAAAGAAAAAAAAAGAAAACCAACTATGTAATCCTACTCGTCCAGCAGAAGCTCTAACAATGGCTACTAGAGAAATGGTTTATTCTAAACTTTCATAAAGAGGGGCCATCTTAAAAATTCAAGGCCAAGAATAAAAGGCGGCTTTTCTTTTTTTTTCTGTGAGTGCAGGACTAGGAAT